GCGGCTACTCCAGACATATGTGAAGGCTAAATGTAAACTAAAATCTTGACTCTCGAGAGTATCTAACTATCCTTGTAAGCCTCGCCATCTGTATCCAGGGTCCTGGTCCGTGGGACAGTGTCCGAAGGAACTGAGGCGAAGTGAGAAGAGCGAATTCGAATCGGGATTTGGCACGAAATTACAAATTACAACACGCTGGCTACACCGGATGCGGCCAGAAAACATATCATAGTAGACTATACATTTCCAAATTTCCAAACGTTTTGGCCCAATTTTTGTCCGCAATCGGCTCAGGCCTTCTAGATTTGAGCCACTTTTGTCCGCACATCTACATCAGGCATTTCCAAAAAATTTCCAAAATTTTGTCCGGACAGTCCTCAGGCATATTCGGATTTTCGTCAAATTTTTGTCCGCACAGGGATCAGGCATTTGACATGACTTTCCCAGGTCCTGATGTGATCCCACTGTCGTCGCCACGTTGGGATCTCCCTACAGTGTTTTGCATGTGAGATTAGAATTCAAATCTCACGAAAACTTGTTTGTTCTTGTGGTCTGTGACTGATGGGAGTTAAGGTGACCTCGAAGTCACTTCGATTCGACGGCAACACTAGAGTCAACATTCAATCATCGACGTAAATGCGGGTTCCAAGCAAGTTCCAAGGGAGGGGACTCCTCCACTTGAAGAAAATATGGATCTAGTCGGAAGACTAGATCCTTTATCGGCTACCCGTGACCTTCACTAAGAGCGCTCTGGCAGAGGAAGTTCAACGTTCAACGTTCAACGCTGTGACACCGAGGAAGGCAACATCACACATTACAACTAATACAAGAACAAACAACTTTTCGTGAGATTTGGATTCCAATCTCACATGCAAAACACTGTAATGACACTGTGTGACCAGAGTGATTCAGGGTCTGATGGGAAGCGACAATATTCAAAGTCCAGTTTCCGTTGCCTCTGTTGGTAGGCCCTGTGATCGTTGTCATAACATAGTCACTCTGATATCACCATTTATTAAGGAACGATAACGTAGTGGTTATGGTGGTCGGTTCAAATCTGTGTCCGAGAGGTCTCGGGTTCAATTCTAGCTTTTGCCTCTTATTTTCGCAAGCATTTCTTGCTGACTCCACGTCGGCCGAGATAGCTGGCCACCACATAAAAGCTGGCGACACTGTGCCATTAGAGTGATCCCAACCTGCACTCTACAGCCGTTCTACATTCATGTAATGATGTTGGTGTCAGCTTAAAATTCCCAGCTGTCCCCAATGTTTCGTACAACAGGCGGTGTACGTAGCAAGCGAGAAGGGGTGGGAAGCAATGCCCGCCAAATGGCGGGCCGTAGTTGTTTGGACAGCTCCAAAAGTAAATAAAATCACTAAGCGGAGCGTTTTGGAATCTGGTCTATCGATACCTCGTTAGCTGTAAGTCCCAAATGTCATCGAGCGTAAATTCCAGGAGCGCGAACGGTGGAAGTTGGCGGAGATGATGGACGTCAATCAAATTTGTTGACCAACGTTTGTTTTCTTTCCACCACCATCAACGACGTACTCAAGGACCTGCACTATCGACAAGTGGCATCAGCCCATCAACCGAGCAAGGCCATGAAGTAAGTATCTTGTTTTTATAACTATAATGATCACGTCTAACTTACTGTGATCGCCGTCTTAGCACTGGGGATTCGGAGTCGACAACTGCATCAGGCCTCGAAGATACGGTTGATACGTTCAAGACGTTGAAAATTGAAAAGTGCCCCCAGCAGCGAGGTGTGTATCGCCATCATTGTCTCTCACAACGTAAACTAAACCTTGTTACTCAGACCTTCAATGCACGAATACATCACAACGCTACCAGATATCCTTTGCAACATCGTAGCCGTTTTTTCCGACCAAGGCCGGACCTTAGGCCTTAGGCCTTACCCCCTCTCTCCTTCCTTACCCCACATACACGACTTCTATCTTGTACTCATTCCACATTCTTCCTGGCGTACGGATGTTTCTCTGAGGTATGCTCTGCTTCACCCTACGCAAGGGATCAATCTGACACCACCTTCCGCAGAGCCTTGCACAACGACAACACGTCGTTGAAGGGGCGGTGAAGCGACGACGTTGCAGATTGGTCACCATCACATTCCCTTCAAATTTCCCTCCCCTTCCGAACTTAACAAGTTCTCCTGCAAAATGACAACACCATTCTCATGTACCGACACGTCTTGGATTGCGTTGGGTTCATGCATGCCCTGCCTGCGCCCTGCTTCTTTGTCGGATAGTTTACACACCAATCAACAGCCCAACTCCTCGTCATTAGGAAAAAACGGCTAGAGCCGTGCGCCATCCCCCGCGCGCGTGGACGAGCTGCAAGGTCTCCTATCGGACTCTTCGGAGGGGGGGAGAGCTTCCTTTGCATTCAACCCTGGAAGAGGAACAAGGGTGGGGGACAAAAACGGAAGATGCGGGGAGAGG